TACGATTCCATAGGAACCGTAGAGGGATCCTCCTAGGATCCTTGCAGGGTCCTGCACGATTCCATCGGAACCCTAGAGGGATCCTCTAGGATCCTTACAGGGCCCTGCACGATTTTCTTGGAACCCTAGAGGGATCCCATAGGATCCTTACAGGGTCCTGCACGATTCCATAGGAACCCTGGAGGGATCCTATAGGATCCTTGCACGGTCCTGCACGTTTCCATAGGAACCCTAGAGGGATCCGAAAGGATCCTTACAGGGTCCGGCACGATTCCATAGGAGTCCTATAGGGGTCCTTTAGGATCCTTACAGGGTCCTGCGCGATTCCATCGGAGTCCTATGAGGAGGAGGAGCTGGCCTCGCTGGCGCGTGGTCGGTTTTCGGACACAGGAGTGCGTGGGGAACAGTAAGGGAGCCAACGGAGATTCGGAAACACATCTAGATTTTCGTTAGCGTATGACAGAGGTGTTGCGCGTTGCCCCCCCCCCCCCGGGGCACAACTGCAACGTGTGGCCTGGGGCAGTGCGCTCGCCCCGGGGGCGAGGACACACCCACGGGCCCCGCCGGGGTGGCCTGAGAGAGTGTCCTTGCGTTGTTGTTGTGCAGTGTCGGGTCTCAGGGGATCCTGGCTGGGCCTTTCCTGGGCTCGGGATCGGGGCAGGTGTGAGGCTGGCGCCCTCCTCGCGCCCAGCGGAGAGATCCAAGGGAGACCCGCGCGGACCTCTCGGGGAGCCTGCGGTCTGGAGCTCTTTTGCTCCGCGTGCCGCTTCGCCGCTCCTGGCCCCCAGCGCCTCGGCGCGACACGCTGGACACGTCCTGGTCTCCAAAGCGTCCCGAGCTTCTCCCAGCCTCCCGCCCCGCGGAACGGAGCGACGCGCCGTCGGCCCCCGGGGCGCAGCGCGGCGCCGGGGCCGCCGCCGCCGCGACGCGCCGAGCATGGCATTCCGGCTGTAATTCGGCGTCCTCCCGGCCCAAGGTGCCGATCCAAGGAGGCCGCGCGGGCCCCCGCAGGCCAGGTCCCCTGCGGGGGGGGGGGCGCGGAGGCGATGGCGCCTTCGCGCGCCGCGGCCCGGGCTGGAGAGCTGGCCCCCTCTCCAGAGGGGCTGCGGCGAGGGCGCGAGGGCGCGAAGGTCGTCGCCTGGTGCGCGCCTCGCGGGGCCGCGGTGCGCGAAGGTGATGTCGGCGGCGAGCGCGGGGGGGGAAGCGGGAAGGATAGGGCCTTCTCAGGAGGCCGCGGGCCTTCCGAGAGGTTTCCTGTGTCTTCGGGGAAGGCTTACAGAGCTTCTCAGCAGGCCAGGGGGCTTCCGAGCCCTCCGAGAAGGCCCGCCCCTTCTCACTGCCCCCCCTCGCTCGCCGCCGATAAGTCACCCCAACATATGAATACTATGTGTGCGTCGCACCCCCCCGGGGGCGACGCGCGCACCGAGAAATCGTATAGTATATGCGTCGGGACGGGCTCTTTCTGGCCACACCGCTCGGGAATTGATCTACTACAAGATGGGTATATTATATGCTCGGGTCAGACGCGCGCCTCCAAGGAGGACATATAGTATTAGTACGTCTCTGTGCGTCCCGAACATATACCGATATCGCCACTCACTAGACCTCTTCTGGGGGTGCGTTTTGACAAGGATTTCGAGGGGACGCCAGCCGTGGCGACGGCGGCTCTTCAGGACAAGCAGCGGCATCGAGATCTGTCCCTCCCATTACGAACGGTTGCTTGGGATCACCGCTGGGGTCGTTAAAGGGATAGGGTGGTTAGAAGTGGATGCTAATATTAGGTCGGGCATGTCCTCTTACAGGCGGATTTTGGAAGACACATAGAAAATAGTCAAACATACCCAGACATGGTGAAACAATGGTCGAACAATCGTTACCAGACTATTATTTCCATTTTTGAGTATTCCTCCTGTAGAGGGACATGCCCGACTTAGTGCCAAGGCGTGTGATATCTGTCCGAACATAGCTCATAGGTGGTTTACAGGTACCCCGAATGGCTTCGGGGGTAAGCGATCCAGGCTAAGTGGGCTCCGCCCACTTAGTGGAGTCATCTAATCCCCCCTGAGGTGCTGAGGGCATCTGTAACCCACCGATGCGCTAGGTTGGGCCAGAAATCACCCACCTTGGCATCCACCAGCGGTGATCGCAGTATAACTGTGCCCTTGCCGCCCCTGACCGTAGTTGGCGCCCTGACCCTAGTGGGCGTCCTGACGATAGTCGGCGTCCTTACTGGAGCGGACGACCGTACACGCCGGTCTTTGAAAGTGGGTATCTTTGGATTCCCAGATCCCAATCTGCCTCAAGCGCTGTCCTACTTCAAGCATCGATCTGCTTCTGCTGTGTCTTGCTATCAGCCGGAACCCGATCTACTTTGTCCGCCTACCCACCTCATGCTCTTATCCATTTCGTCCGACCGACGTGTCGGTGGCGCCCTGCGTCCTCCCAGCCCGGGGAACCGGCCCAGGAAGCCCGAGCGGGCCTGCGGGAGCCCGTGCCCGTGCCGCCCCTGACCGTAGCTGGCGCCCCGACCGCAGTCGGCGCCCTGGCGGTCGTTGGTGTCCTGACCGTAGCGGACGACCGCCCAGACCCCCGACGTCGTAATTTTTTCAGGACGTCGACCTCCAGGGAGCTCTGGACCCATTCGCCCAGGACCGGCTTCTCAGCCCGAGACGTTTCTTGACGGTCCCGGGGCCCGGAAGGTGCCTCCAGAGGCCGAAGATATGGCAAAGCCTCCCATCGTGTTTTTTATTTGCAACCCGAGGGGCTCTGGGACCGCAGGTGGCACCCCCCTCCCAGACCGGAGCCGGTTCAAGAGGCCCGAGCGGGCCCGCGGGAGCTCCCCCCCCCCTCCTCCTCCTCCTCCTCCTCCTCCTCCTCCTCCTCCTCCTCCTCCTCCTCCTCCTCCTCCTCCTCCTCCTCATCCTCCTCCTCCTCCTCCTTCTCTCCTCCTTCTCTCCTCCTCCTCCTCCTCCTCCTCCTCCTCCTCCTCCTCGTGCTCGTGCCGCTCCCTCTCCTCCCGCCCTCCGCGCACGGCGCGGTGCGGGAGGCGGCCGCGGGGCGGCGCGGCGCGGCCGGTCTGGCCGAGGCCGTGGCCGCCTTCGTGGAGGGCCTGCGTGGCCACGCCGCGGGCCTCGCGGGCGCCGGGCTGGCGCCCGTGTGCCGGGCGGACCTCCCGGGCTGCGCGCCGGGAGTGGCCGAGGGGGGTCACACGCGGCGAGCATGGGGGGTTCGAGGTTTTCGAGGTGCGGCGTCGGAGATTTTTGGGGCGCCCTCACCGCTTCTCGGCGGCTCTCTCCAGCCCCGTGGGAGGCCTTCCAGGGGCTGCGCCTCGCCGCGGGCTTTCCAGGGGCGCCCGGATTGTCCCGAACGGCCGCCCTGGAGCCGAGTTAGGACTCGAGAACCAGGGGCACGAGCGGCGGACATATCTGTATGCGCGCCCTCGCGGTCTGGATTCCGGGGCGCGATCCCGAGGATATGCGGTCGCACGGATATGTTCCGCGCGGGGCATCTGCGAAACCCGCCCCGTATCCGCCGGGTCGCGGTCCGGGGGCCTGGCCCGCGAGGCCGCGGATACGGAGATGGTTTCGCCCACGGGTGGTGCTTAGGCAGAAAGCAAGACGGCCAAGCGTTCCGCAGGACGCGTGGAGTGGATGGCAGGGGCACCCGTTGTTTCCTGGCAGGATTCGCTTTGGAAAGTCATCGCAGGCGGCCGACATGATACCGTCGGCGCCCACGGGTTGGACTAAACCACCCGGCAGGACCAGGAGGAACTGATGTGCATGCATGTGTGCACCCGTTCATTCCAATCTTTTATGGGGAGGAGGAGGAGGAGGAGGAGGAGGAGGAGGAGGAGGAGGAGGAGGAGGAGGAGGAGGGGGAGGAGGAGGAGGAGCCGAGAGTTCGGCGCATGTCCATGGCGGACCTCTCGGCTGCGCGCAAGAGTCCGGGCCCCCCAAGCGGTTTGTTGACCACACCGTGTGGTGAGTCCGTGGGGATTCGGTGTGACCGCACGGTTTGGGGACTCGGGTCGTTCTCCGGGGGCGGCTCGGGCGACTGGGGCCTCCGCGGTGCCGAAACCGTGCAGTGACGGACCGTGTGGTGAGGTCACCGCACGGTCCGTCGTCACACCGTTTTGGGTCCCCCAGAAGAGAGATTCGGGTGCGTCGAAGCGGGGGTCGGCGATTATGGGGGGTGGATATCGTGGCTGGGGCCACGATATCTCTTCGGATTTCATGGTCCCCTTTCTTTTTTTTCAACACGTCCCCTGTGCCTTGGGCCATGATTTACGAAAACCCCTCGTGGACGCCCCCGACCCCATCGCCGGAGGTGACCTCTCTTGCGCGGCTTTCGGGAGGCACGTTCGGGGTGCTCTGCCGTGGCGCCTTCGACTGCGGCTCAGTCTTTTGCGGCTGTTTTTTGTCGGTTCCTGGAGGGTTCTTTTTCCTCGGGACGCGTTCCAGCAGCTGCGCCTCGCCGAGAGCGTTCTGGGGGTGCCCAGATCGTCCCGAACAGCTGCCGGAGACTCGAGTTGCGACCCGAAAGCCGAATGACCCTCCGCCGGAGTTACCTTTGATAAGTACGCGGCTTTCGGGGGGAGCGGGGGGTGGTGTGCAAACCCAGGCACGCAAGCCGCTACTGTCGCAACCCTCGCAGCGATCGGCACGCCGCGCATCAAGACGCCGTTCTTGCCTTGGGTCACACAGGGTGTCTGCGGTTCGGTCGGTTCGGCTGCATCGCAGTCGGTTGCGCTCGGTCGGTTCAGTTTGGTCGGCTGCCGTGTCGCTGCTGCGCTGCTGCGCCCTTCTGGGCCGCCGTCGGCTCTGGCCGGGCTCGGTCTCGTCGCCGCTTCGGTCAGTTTTCGGGCTTGCACCGTCGACGTGGACGCCCTTGGCTTACAGTCAACCTGCACGGTAAGGATGGGCAGTTCTCCCCAGGATGCCCTTGCATCCCTGCTTTCTCCCCCTCGCCACCCTTAGCCTCGCCCCGTCGCCAAAGTGCGACGAACTTCCGGGCCCCAGCATCCTACCGCGCACCCTCCTGCTGCGGGTCGACGGTGCTCCGCGCGCGCAGCCGGTCCTCGGGCGCGAGTTCCACCTCGCGAACAGCTGATGAGCCCATCTTCCACCACCACTACCATATGCAGGAGGGAGGAGGAGGAGGAGGAGGAGGAGGAGGAAGAGGAGGAGGAGGAGGAGGAGGAGGAGGAGGAGAGGAGGAGGAGGAGGAGGAGGACCTCCTCGTCCTCCCCTCTCCCCCGTCCTACATGTGGTAGTGGTGGTGGAACATTTGCCCATCAAACAGCGTGCTCCTGGCCGTGTGGCGCGCCGCGGCGGAGCCCGGCGCGGCGCCGGAGCGGGCGCGGGAGGCGCTCGCCGAGCTGCGCGCGAGGCGCTGGCCAGCCTGCTTCGAAGAGCTCGGCTCCGTGCTGGAGGCTCCGAGGAGGAAAAGGTACCCATACCACCTCTACCCTTCTCTCGGTTTTCCCGTTCTTGGGCCTCCTCGGAGGCCCTCGTCGCCGCCGCTGGATTCGCCTCGAAATTCTGGTCAGAACGCACGCCGGGAGAGGTCCGGGGGGCAGCGGTATCGGTATCTTCTGGTTTCCCCAGAGGCGGCTCTGCCGGACACCGCCGCGGCCTTTGGCCATGAGTCCGGGGAGGCTCCACCGGCGGGGTCGAAGGAGGCCCAGAGATCCAGCGTATGGAAAAAAACAAGACGGATTTTTTTCTCGATTTTCGGCATCTGGGGGCCCTCGCCAGGCCCCGGGACTGTCAACAAAACGATTCAGGATGAAAAAACGGTCCTGGGGAATGGGTCGAGAATTCCGGGGGGCTATTCGGCGGTGTACCTCTCTGGGCGTTTGTACCTATCTGGGTGTACCACTCTGGGCGTCTCGGCGGTGTTTCCGCCGCTGTCTGTTCCACGACGCGAGGGGGTCTTGGCTGGCCGCCCTGCGTACGTATCTAGGCCTCCGAGATGGGGTCCGAGCAGATGGGGTCAGAGGATCGCGCCGCATCGCCGATGCATTGGCGATGCGGCTCAATGTGGAGCCCGATTTCCTCCACGCTCGCGTGGCCGATGCACTGCCGACGTCGCCGACGTGTTGTCGGTGCATCGTCGATACAACGGCGATGCTGCACGCTCCTCCGACCCCACCTACTCTGACCCCATCTGAGCGACGCAAAAAATGGGGTCTCCTGCGCCGACATTGGCGCGTAAGCTGCCCGCGTAAGGTCGCGCGTGAGCGCCTTAGTCTTCAATGCAGCGTGCCGCGCTGGCGGCCCGCGTAAGCCGCCGCGTTAAGACCTCTTTTTGATCGTCGCTCGTCTGGGAGGCCTCTTAACCTAGGTCGCCCCCATGGGTTATGATGTTCCAATATACTGTGGCCTCGATCACCAGAAATAAATTCGAGCACCAGCCAAGAATGCACCGAAACTTGAGGGTTTTCGCGTGTCGGACACTGGGAGGCGATACCCGTTCGACGCTGTTTCGACACTGTTCTGGGTGCTCGAAATTCTTTCTGGGATGTGGTCCTGAAGTGCGATGGGAGGAGGAGGAGGAGGAGGAGGAGGAGGAGGAGGAGGAGGAGGAGGAGGAGGAGGAGGAGGAGGAGGAGGAGCAACATAACCCCTGGGCGCGAAGACCATCGCGCCCCTCGCGCCTCGCGGCTTGGGTCGGAGAGGCGCCCCCCTCCTGGGCGGCAGCCCGAGGGCGCGGAGACGTGGCCGTGCGCCGCGCCTCTCGCGCAAGGGGGGGGGGCGGGCGCCGCGCGGAGCTCCGTGGCCCAGCGCACGTCGAGGGCGAGCCGGCGGAGACGGCCTCGGCCCTGCCCGGCGTGCCTCGCCTCCTCCGCGGGCCTCCTCGAGGCCCCTCTCTTCTCGGGGGCGGAGAAGAGGGGGGTGATGGTTAGGGGTGGGTGGGTTATCATGGCGTGGGCCACGATGTTTGCCCAGATTTCATGGCGCCCCTTCTTGTTTTATTGCGTCCCTGGCCCCCCCGCTGGGCCGCGCACATGCCGCTGGTCATGATTTGCACCCCCCCCTCTTGGACACCCCCCTCTTGGCCGCTCCCGATCTTCGCCACGGCTGGAGGCGCCCCGGCAAGCGGGTCAGGGTCGGAGCCCGGGAGGGGCTCCCGGGGGGCAGCAGTTCTGGAGCGGACCCGAGCTGGGCCGGAGGGGCGCGGTTGCCTCAAGTGGCCCTGCTCCCATGCGTTGGTGGGCTCGGCATCGAGGCAGCAGGGCAGCGTGTCGCAGGTCTGGGCTTTCCAGTGGTCTCGGGCGTGTGTTTTTCGTTGGTGTGCCAGTGCCCTTTGACTCCCCCCTCCCAGTGGCCTCGTCCTCGCCGGGGACTTTTTTGGCGCCTGTGGGTGCGGTCCAGCCAGCCTCTTGAGGTCCAGGCTTGAGAGCAGAAAGGTTGGACAAGTCCAAGAAGAGCCTGATTGTCCACTCGCTCAGGGTTCTGCTTTCCTGGGCGCTGGGGGTCCCGCCGTCACCGCTGCTGGACCACCGGCGCTCCCTGCTTCGCGCTTCCTCACCCGTGCGGCCTCCGTGTGGTCGACCACCGTGGACTTCGAAGAAGGCCAACGGAGATTCGTCCATGTGTGTTGACGGGATCTCGGCCTTGACCGAAGCCACGCGTTCGTCTGCTGAGGCGCGAGATGGCAACCCTGTGCAGTTCAGACGCTGGAGATGGGGCCCCTTTGGGCTCAGGAAGGGCTCTGGCTCCTGGGCCGTCTAGATCCGGGATGGGGAAGCGAAGTATTCGTGGTCGATGCTCGCCGTGGCCGGAATAGCCCCTTCGTTCCTGATTCAGTGTTCCATGTGGCAGCACGATCTTTGTACAGTCAACCCGCCTAGTAAGGATGGGCAACCTTTCCAGGGGTGCTCTTGCATCCTTACCTCCTCGGTCCATCCTTGGCCGCTTTCACTGGCCGCGCCCCGCCCGCGAAGTGTCGACACGGTCTTCCAAGGCTCTTGCAGCCTTATCGTGACCATGTGTGAGGCATTTAAGCCGTACTGGTAGGCTTCAACCTTTCCCTCGCTTTTCCCACGCCAGGAGCCTTCGTAACTCTGGACAGTCTGCGTAATGACTTAGGAAAAGATCATGGACCCGCTGTGGATCAGCCGTGGTCGTGCTATCAACGGATCGCGATTCTGGCGCGTACCACTTTTCTCCACGGTCGGCGCTATTGCAGGTTGCTTGCCACCACGGGCAATTCTCCATGGGCCGATGCTGGGACATTTCGCATAGAGTCAGAACCCGATCTGTGTCCGCATCCGCCTCTTGAAGCTCGATTCTCCAGCAGCTCTTGGGAGGTGTACGTGGTAACAACTGACTCTTTCTCCAGAGGCGGAGACCGTCACATCTGCTTTTTTGCAACTGTGTGTCGACAGGTTCATCGGGAGATGGAAGTGGCAATATTTTCTTTGTCGTAGTCAGCACGTGTGTCGGCGATCGATTTTGTCGCTTTCGAGTGCTGTTGGCATTTTGTGGACGTTTTGCCTGCCCCTATCGGGTTTCCCTCATGGAGCCCGCAGGGAATGAGCGGGGGGGACGTGTGCCTGTATCGCTCGGCATCGGATGAGTTTTGGTTCGGATGCTCCTATTCTGAGTCTCAGGGACTTTGGTTCCCTGGGCCGGATTCCA